AACCACTTGTGTGTGCTGCTGCTCCACAGATCTCTCCTGTTCAGGTTTATGCTTTGTTGTCTCACTGGAATTTACTTACAAAACACATGTTCAAAGATAAAATTGTTATGAATTTCAAGACAGCCACCGCTGAGGATTAAAACAAATGGACTTCACAAGGCCCAAGCCTAAGAAGCCAGAGTTCCTCCTAGGTCATCACAAGGAGCTGGCTTTTGCTCTGAGGCTTCTGAACAGAGAAGTAACATCACATGCTTCACCTGCAGTTACTAGTGAAGAATATTGGTTTTGCATTTCACACTAGAGACTAGGCACAATACACTCCTCTGATTCAAGCATTAAACTTCATTTACACAACTATTATTTTGCTTTTGGACGTTCAATATGAACTCAAAAGTAATTTCTCAATCTTTACTCAGGTCAGTAAATTTGGTGTACACAAAACAGATCATCTACTTATAAAATGTGGCCCTGATTTAATTAGATTCATCTGGTATAATGAACAAAAATCAACAACAAAGAAGGTAATTGTGAGAATCTGAGGGCATGTGGAAACAGGAATTTCCTCCAGGCCTCCAGATCTCTTGGGATGCTTCTCCGTGTTTACCTTTGTCTAGCATAGCCTCTGCTGACTCATAACTCTCATCTCTTTGTCCATAGTGATCCCTCCAGATTCTTATTCTCTCCACCTAAATGTCTTTCAGCTTCTGTTCCTGGTAATAGCCCGATTTGTCCAGATTTGAGTGAGAGTCTTATGGCCCTAGCTCATTTCTCTTTGGGCAATGCTTCTAACCCCCAGGTTGACCTCCTGACCTATGCCATAAGAAGGCAGCCTTTGAATTGCTGTCCTTGACTCAGATTCCTTCAGCCATGGCTGCAGAGGACAATGTCACAGGATCATAACATAGTTCCACTGGAAACTGGGTGGAACATTTTCCCTTAGCAGAAGCTGTGAGTACTGTAAGCATGGCAATGACATAATTGGATGCTTGCCCAACAGGACTTCTTAAACAACTTGACATCTTTCATTTCAGTGTATTGCTGTGCCTGAAACTGGACTAATTTTGGTAAACAAAAATCTTTTTTACCAGGCTGGTCTTGAACTCCTGGGCTCAAGCGATCCTCCCACCTGGGCCTCCCAAAGTGGTGGAATTGTAGGCATGAGCCACTAAGGCAGCCAGGATCTTTCTGTTACTAACACAAATTCCTTTAAGCAAATTAGACTTACTTGCAGTGCTTGATATATAGCTGATACTCAGTCAATATTAGCAGAATGAAATTTCATATATCTAATTATTTTCCTCTGAGAATAGCTACACTGAATGAAGACATTTTATGAACAAAAGGAAGAAATGTCATTTAGTGCACAGAAAAAAATGGACAGAGCATGGGAGAAGGATGCAATCAGTAAAGGACCTGGGCATCTGGAGCACAGGAGGAAAAATTCAGGAGGTGCGCAGTAAAAGGAAAAGCTGCCTTCACTTCCGAGCTCCACCCCCCCCACTCCCACCCCCTCACCCCCCACACGACAAAACAATCATCTCAATTTTGTCTATTTATCATGGCCACAAGGAAAGCATTAACACTGCTGACTGCTACTGAAAGGTAAAATAGGATGAAGACAGAACAAAGCTCACTGATTCGGTGACATGAACATCATGAGTGAATTTAGCAAGGAAGATTTCAATGAAATTGAATAAAACACATAAGTGCTGGGTGTGATAAAGCAATTTAAGAAATAAAAGACTATGAAAGGAAGATCTATTCTAGTTTCAGCTCCACAACCGAATTACTGGGTAATGCTGCAGAAGCCAACTGAATGCCCAGGGCCCTGTTTTTCATCTAAAATGGGAATAATAATACCTATCAACCCATAGGGTCATTATAAAAATTAGGTGAGATAATATATGTGAAAGTGCTCTTACACTGGCAAAGCTTTACATAAAATGATATGTATGCTTAGTATTGTCAATTAACAATAAGTAAATTTGTTCCTATTATTTAGCAAGAAGTACACTAAAAATTCTGACCAGAAACAAATGGCCTAGTATAAAAGTGAGGCTCAAATTCACTGACAATGATAGAAATTCTGCTAAAAGTGCTCTGCTCCAAGTAAAGGGACTTTCAAATGAAGATATTTAAATCTGCAAGTGATAAAGCATGAAATAAATTTATTGCTGTATTTTCTCCAACAATTCAAACAACATATTTTCAGTATGATTGTGCTTTTGCCAGTCAATTATAAAGTCAAATAACTATAGTAAAAATCCTGCCAGCTGTAATCAATCACTACACATTTGTATAGGAATGATTTTCCAGAATACCTTGCCTTCTATTTGTATTCTTAATATATCTTTCTTTTGGAGGATATCAAGGTGAGAAATAATAAGAAATATCTTTGGATTATTTGTAAATGCATCCTCAAGTCCTGAATTAAAGATTTGAGATAAAATTGTAAACTTTTTGGTGCCTTGGGAGAAACCAAATCTAAAAAGAATTAAGCAGAAAAAAATCATTAAAAAAATTTCATAACTCGGTAAAATTCTGAATTGAAATGAAAATCCTTTTCTATAAAAATGTTGGTGGGGAGCCAAAAATGGATGATAGGTAACATTATTGAGCATGCACTATGTACTTATCGAGCAATCACATATACTGGGCATGTGATTTTCATGTACAGTTCATTGGATTATCATGGCAAATGAAACAGATATTACAGTATCATTTCCCCCATTTAAATATAGAAAGCTCGGACAGGCTGGGCACAGTAGCTCACACGTGTAATCCCGGAACTTTGGGAGGCCATGGCAGGTGAATCACCTAAGGTCAGAAGTTTGAGACCAGCCTGGCCAACACAGTGACATCCTGTCTCTACTAAAATTACAAAATTAGCAGGGTGGGGTGGCATGCACCTGTAATCCCAGCTACTTGGGAAGCTGAGGCAGGAGAAACACTTAAACCTGGAAGGCAGAGGTTGCAGTGAGCCAAGATTGTGCCACCGCATGCCAGCCTGGGTGACAGAGTGAAACCCTATCTCAAAAAAAAAAAATCTAGGAAAGGGAAAGATTAAATAACTTGCCCAAGGACACACAGCTAATAAGTATGAAAGTTGGGATGTGAACTGTGTTTGTATCGCTCCAAAGTTCATGGTCTTCGACAATGCGTTATATAGTCTCCCCCAATTATATCTTTAGGAAAATGTTTAACTTTCTGGAAATAATAACCTGTTAAGTACCTAACTTAGTCCAATAGTTTCAGATCTCTCTTAGCTTGTAATCTTCCTATGAATTTTAACAATAGCGCATTCAGTCAAGAGTGGGTCCCTTCTGAGCATGAGACCCTGCGTTATTACACGGAAGGCTTTACTGAGAAACCTGCCACGTGCAAAGATTTCAAGTTGCTGAGGGAGAAACCATGCAGATTTCTGAGGCAAGAGAATTCCAGGTGGAGGGAACAGCAAAGAAAATGGTCACTGCATACAATTAAAACCCCATAAATTAACTGAGAAATAATGGAGAACCAGGAGAGTGTGATAGGTTAAGAAAGTATACGGAAGAGGACAGAGTAATCAACTGTGTCAACTGGCAGACAATAGCATGAGGACTGAGAAAGTATCCTTACTAAATTTAGCAACTAGAAGTCATGACTTACTTTGACAAAAACAATTTCAGTGATGCAGTGGAGGCCAAAACATAAGAACAGGGTTTAGGAAAGGGACTGAAGTACTGAATACAGTAGACCATTTCAAATATATTTTCTATAAAGGAAAGCCGAAGAAGAGGGCAGTAACTGGAGGAGAAAGTGGGGTCAGGATGAGAGAGTTGATAGTGGGAGGAAAACCCAGGCATCTATGAAAAAGAAACTTAAGGTGCCCTTCCTGAATGATGTTAAGGTGTTTAAAAATAAAATGCATGAAACTAGCTAACTGAAAATGACAGAACCCAAATGATTGCTAAAAAGAAGGGAATTTCAGAAATGTTTGACATCTAATCAAGGCAACCTGAATTTCATCTAAAGAAGTGTTATTGTGTTGTGATTACAACTCTAAAATAGTTTAAGCCTACTTGATTGTAAGTTACCTAATGAAGGAAGACTGTATTAAAAGGAGAAGGGTTTGGTTTGCACAGGATTCATAAAACAGGAGTTTGAGAGACAAAATGTGGCACTGTGTTGCCAGCGATGTCCACTAAAAAGGGTTTACTGATGAGTAGACTTGAAAATTGGGCTCATTTAGCAGATATATCTTTGCATTATTTAACTGTAAAGATAAATACCTCTTGGGATTACCATTAGGTAATTAGCATATACAAATGATTTCAGATCAGAAAGCAAGCTTATTAGCAGTAGATTTCCATATGGATTCCCTGTAAGAGGACAGTGTGCTTATCAAAGGGCTTGAGTGTCTAGTCCCTAGGAGACTGCCAGTACATATTAATAAATTGACATTCTAATCTATTTGGTACTCTCATGTGAGTCTGGTTCTAGTAATCAGCAGCCTGGAATTATCTGGATATATTAAAGCAAAGGGCCAAGCTTTGAAATGACACTAAAGTAGAGCAGGACAACCATCATTAGGCAGCCTCCCAGGTGCCACCGATACCTTATCCTTTATCCACCTAACCATATGTCTGAAGTACTGTACTGAGGAAAGAAGACTGAGCTTAATGGTCAGAAAATCGTGTAGGACTCTGCCACCACTACCCATGCAACCCTGAGTAGTGTCACTTAATTCCTGTGATTCTCAGTTTATATATCTTTTCAGATAGGAGTAACAATAGCTAGCCTCTCTCATGGTGTCATTTTGTTTTGTTTTGTTTTGAGACTCAGAATCTAAATCTAAAACAAATAGTTACCTGAACAGAAGATATTAATGCTATCATCATTACATGTCCTGCAGCCTAAGTATGTAATTGATATATTTAAGCATGTTGCCACAATTACCTGAGAATTGAAGACAACATGAAAAACCACTAGCCCACTGAACAAAATATGGAAAATCCTACCTCTCAGCAACTGGTTTGGCAATGTTTTCAAAAATGATCTCTTGGTTTGCATCCTGATCAAAAATTCTTTGAAATCTGCAATGTGAAAAATAATAATTATTTAAAAGCGGAGCCTCCAAACAGTATCAGATTAATAAATCTTGTTTTTCTAAAAGCTTTATAAATTACCCCATATTTACATCACTGGGCTTACCTAACTTAGCACAATGTTTGCCCTGTAGTCTCAACCACACTGTGCTGTTGTACGCCTGTATACAAATGGTGGGTAAACAGTATTGCTTTGACAAGATCTGCACAATAAAGCCCTCTGAAAAACTGCAGCAGCTTTGAACCAAATAACAAATTGTGTGCTTTTTAGCTCTCAAGAGGGACAGTGTCTACAATTGGCAAGAAACTCAAAACTAGATAGCTGCATGAAATGGAAATCCAAGAACAGGATGTAAACAGCCAAGGAACTTCTGATGTCTGACCTGTGAGAAAAGAATGCAACTGTGAATTGTCTGACTACTGAATTTGGTTTTAGTATTTTGAACTAAAACTTATTTTTCCACTAATTTGGTGCTATAACCTAGCATCAACCATTTAATTCTCATGGCAGTTCTGTTTCATTTTGTTGACCACGAGTCAAAAGTCAAAAAGTAAATTAAGATAGACCTATCCTGCAAAGAGAAGGTTTAACCAGATTGGCAATGGCTAGGGAGAGGGGGTGGAAGTATGGTGTCAATTTCACTCTTCCTGCAATGCTACTGTGACTTAGCTTGTACTGGATTCCAAGCACAGTGGAATACTCAGGGCAGAAGACACAGAATCTATTTTTTTTTTTTTTCAAAGGGAGTCTCCCTCTGTCACCTAGGCTGGAGAGCAGTGGCGCTATCGGCTCACTGCAACCTCCACCTCCTGAGTTCAAGTGATTCTCTTGGCTCAGCCTCATGAGTAGCTGGGATTACAGGCATGTGTCACCATGTCTGGCTAATTTTTATATTTTTAGTAGAGATGGGGTTTCATCATGTTGGCCAGGTTGCTCTTGAACTCTTGGCCTTATGTGATCCACCCACCTCAGCCTCTCAAAGTGCTGGGATTACAGGCATGAACCACTGCACCCCACCCAGAATCTATTCTGTAACAGTGTGCTAAGTTGTGACCAACAAGTATGGTCCCCATTAAGACATCATGATAATATGATAGCATTTCCACTTCTTTCCTTTAATGACATAGTGTGTGTACTTTTTAAATTATGTGAATTAAAATTGATTTTATCCTGAAAAAAAAAATCATGATAATAAAGAGAGAGACAGAGAGAAAGCAAATTGGCCCAAATATTAACACAAGGTGAACCTTCCACAAAGAGTATATGTGTGTCGACTGGGTTATTTTTCTAACTTTTCAAAATAAACTTTTCCAAATTTTCAAAATAAAAATTGAGGTGGAAATTTTAAAGCGAACACTTTAAGCAGACATTTTGAGGGTATCCTAGGCAGCTTCCAGAGCGGCTTAGGAACCTTTGCTTTACATGCTTGCCTCTGTAAGTGAACTGGGCACATGGTTGATTAGAGATTGTAAGTGAAATGTAAGATCACTGGAGAGCTCAAAAGGATGTCGAAAGCTGAACTAGAAATATAAAACGGAATGAAATTCATCATCTCTAACCAACATTATCTTCAAAAGATCTCTACAGCTGCCCTACCTTCATTTTAGAGAAGCAAAGAACGAATCTAAGGCGCTCTGGCTAGTATGTCGTTTATCAGGCAAGACTGTATTTTAGATAGCAATATTTACTGTTTAGTGTACCCAGACTGCTTCTCAAAACTCTGTAGATGTATCACAGCTTCAAATAAGAACACCAACACAATGCAGAGGTCAACATAACACATAACTGCTGAACTGCTCTTCAGAGCACTGTGTAGTTTGAGGTCTGAGCACATATTCTCAGCTTTTGAGAATGATGGTAAGGCTGTTTCACTTCTTTTATCAGATGAGTGATGACTGAGTGAATCAATTAGCCATTTTCTACCCCACTTCCTTAAAAAGGAGTAATTATATCCACCACCATGCAAATCAAAGAGATGGCAGAAGTTTTAAAGAAGGCAGCAAATCACATGCAGGATATCTTCTGAAAGGTACCTTGCATAAAATGAATTACAGCATTTTCATTTTGAATTGATCTATTCATTCCACAAACACATGCTGAGGGCCTACCATGTACCAGTCACTTCCAACAAGATTTAAATTAAACTAAAATATAATTTTAGTATAACATCTATAAAGCATATTGAATTCCTTGGGTAAAAATGACATCCTCCACTATTTAAAATAATAGGTGATAGAAACACAAGCAATCCAGATCTTTTTATTGACTCCTCCCCCCCATTTTAGAATAAAGATTTTAGCACCAGAATTTATAATAAACCACTAATCGTATATTAAACATCAAATGTCATCATCCCCAAATATTGCATTTTATACAATGTAGTTGCATAGTAATCTGAAAGGGCATTTTGATCGGCTGTCTTCTGAAAACCACTAAAGAGCAGAATAGAATCCCAGAGTTAGAAGGGATTTTAACGGGTTCAGTCTAATCATTAACAGAGGAAGAAGCTGAGATCCACAGAAATAAAGTAATTACTCATAGTCTTAGAGCTCATCAATAATATGCCTTGAGACATAACTGAGGTTTCCTGATTCTTAGGTGGTCTTTTCATTTGTTAGGAAATTGTGTAGGATTTTTCTAAACTCTATTTCAAACTCAGCATATGCTGACTTCTTCCCACCCTAAGGAATGGGGCACTTCCTGTGCTCTTCCTCACCCCAGAAAGTAAATGTTCAGTCCAAAACCCTCAGGATCTTCTTGATTCCTCTGTTTCTGCTACACTCTATATCCAATCCATCAGCAAATTCTGTCAGCTGAGACCTTCCAAACACACCCAGAATTCAATTATTTCTCAACATTTCCATTGTTAACACTTTGGTCCATGCTACCATAATTTCTTACCTGGTCTCTCTTGCAATAGCCTAACTAGTCTCCTTTTCCCTCTTTTCCACATGTCTACAAGAGTCATCCTGCTAAAACATAAGTGAGATACTTTCATTCTTCTGCACAAAACCCTCCAAAAATTCTCATGGCACTTTGGGGAAAACCACAAGTCCTTGCAATGACTTAAAAGGCTCCATGTAATCTGGCCACTCTGCCGCCTGTCTTTCTTCCCTCTACCTCGTGCTTACTCTACTCCAGCCACATAGCTCTTTTCACTTTTCCTCAAACATGCCGGGCATTCTCCCCATTAGGGGTTTCACCCTTGCTATTCCCTTGGCCTGAAAGTCTCATCCCTCAGATACCTGAACGGCTGGCTTCCTCACCTCCGTCAAATCTTTGCCCAAATGTTCCTTTACTGTATGCCTTTCCTAACCTACTAAATGTTGCAACCATTCCTTTCCTTTGCCCCCCTCATCCCAGCACCTCTCATTCCCCTTCTCTGTCACACTTTTCTCCACGGCATGTAGCACCTTCCGACGTACATTTTGCTTATTGATCTTCTCCTCTATCTCCTCTCACTAAACTGTAAGCTCCCTATGAGCAGGAGCTTTGTTGTGTTCCCTGCTGTCATTCCTAGCAATTAAAACAGCACACAGTGGGTAGCCAATAAATATTTATTGGTTGAATAAATGTTCTTGGGGGAAAAACAGCCTTTAAAATGCTTAAATATTTATCTTTGAACATATGTGTAAGTTGAATATTTTATTTTTTAATTTTGAATATTAAAACCAGTATTTTTAATTCAGAGATTTAAAAATAAGCCAATGGTGCTTTTTCAACAATTGCACTCTGTATCTACACAATGTAAAGAATACTTTGGAAAGGATCCACAGATAGACACAATAAATTGTTCTTATCAATCAAATGGAATCATGCTGAATAAAATATTTCAGCAAACTGTTCTTTTATATAATAGAGTTTGGCCTAGGCCAGCTGGCATCAGGTCACAGTTATGAAGGTATGTAGCATGCTTATATCAGTGGGATAATGTCCCCTTCAGAAAAAGCAAAGCAGGGGCCAGTAGTCATAGCACAAGCCTATAATCCCAGCACTTTGGGAGGCCAAGGAGGGCCAGATCACTTGATCCCAGGAGTTCAAGACCAGCCTGGGTAACATGGTAAAACCCAGTCTCTACGAAAAAAAAAAAAAAAAAAATTAGCTGGACATGGTAGTGCGCACCTGTAATCTTGGTACTTGGCAGGCTGAGGTGGGAGAATCACCTGAACCTAGGAGGTCAGGGCTGCAGTGAGCTGAGATTGTACCACTGCACTCCAGCCTGGGTGACAGAGTAAAACCCTGTCTCAAAAAAAAAAAAAAAAAAAAAAAAAAAAAGCATGGGTTATAGGGCTATTCCTTAAAGGATATAATAAAAGGCAATGGGGAGACACAAAGACAAGGTGAGGACCTCCCCACTAGACAACAATAGGTTAGCAAGCCCTGCTTGTACTTACTCTAAAAGAAGACAATAAGAAAATGGGGTGGAAGTGGAGGGAGAGAAGTATATTATAATGAAAGACAAAAGACAGAGTTATGAAGACCAGCAAGAATTCTTTATGAGACAACAAAAAAGCAAATAAGAATTTAAAAGGAAAAAGTCCAGACACAGCAGCTCATGCTTATAATCCCATCACTTTGAGAGTCCAAGGCAGGTGAATCACTTGAGGTCAGAAGTTTGAGACCAGCCTGGCCCACATGTGAAACCCCGTCACTACTAAAAATACAAAAATTAGCTGGGCATGGTGTCAGGTGTCTGCAATCCCAGTTACTTGGGAGGCTGAGGCAGGAGAATTGCTTGAACCCAGGAGGCAGAGTTTGCAGTGAGCCAAGATTGTGCCACTGCACTCCAGCTTGGGCAACAGAGTGAGACTCCATCACAAAAAAAAAAAAAAAAAAAAAAAAAGAAAAAGAAAAAGAAAAAAGAAAAGAATTTAAAAAGAAAAAGAGAGAAAGAGAGAGAGGAACAACAAAAAAAATCTGAGATAATTTTATACAAAGGCCAAAGGCAGGAATAGTCTCAAAACAGGGCCTTTGTAAAACAATCTAGAGATGCATTGAAGAGAACAATTAGAACTATTTCAGAGGATCCAGAAATCCATCACCAAAGTTTGGGCCAGAGATCAAAGATGAATTTAATTTGGGCTTAAACTTCTCCAGAAATCAAATGTGGAGATTAAAAGAAATAGATTAATCTGAAACTGGAGAATAAAAAGAATGTGAATTAGCTATACTCCCTACATTCAAGGCCTAGCTACTAAAAGAGTATTCAGACCCAAGGCACTGATGGCCATCCAAAGGTAGCTGTTTGGTATTTTTCAACTGAGCCATTAGAGTTTAGCACTACCCAAGAGAAATATAATGGCATCCATAAATATGAAAGCATATGTAACTTAAAATTTTCTACTAGCCATGCTTTTTAAAAAACAAAAAGATTAGTTGGGCATGGTGGCGCATACCTGTAGCTCAAGATATTCAGGAGGCTAAGGTGGGAGAATCACTGCAGGCCAGGAGTTCAAAGCCACAGTGAACTATGACTGCACCACTGCACTCCAGCCTGGGAGACAGCGTGGGACCCCATCTTTAAAATTTAAAATAAAGAAATATTTAAGAAGCAAAAAGAAGCAGCTGGAATTAATTTTAACAATCTACTTTTAACCAAGGTTAAAAGTTTCATATACCAAAATGTTATAATTTCAGTAAGTAATCAATATGAAAAAAGTCTTGAGATATTTTACATTCTTTTTTCTTCATGCTAAGTCTTCAAAAATCTTTCATATGTTTTATACTTGACAGCACATCTCAGTTCGGGTTGGATATATTTCAAGTGTTCAAGAATGACATGTGGCTTGTGGCTATTACATTGGACAGCATAGATATAGAGTGTACATATGTGCATATGCGGTCCAAATATCATATATATTATAAAGAAGGCTCACCCCTATACAGCACACAGATGATACTGTAAGTTCTTACCTTCAATGAAGTTTAGTCATGCATTGGAATTTTCTGTAAGTGCTAAACCACAGTGTGTTGAGTAGGAAAACACTAGAGAAACAGAGGTAGTCAAGAAAGGCTGGAATCTTGAAATACAATCTCAGATATAGAAATACACACTCTTTTTGACCTTGGCCACAGCAGGGAAAAAACAACTTGAGTTCAATCTACTAGGTGAGACAGACAGCTGAGTTGCATTTTCCACAAGAAATAGTGCTAATTATTTCACAGCAAATATTAATGCAGTACAAGAATTAGTTCAATAATGAAACATAAATGAAAAAGGAGAAAGACAAACTTACTTAAATTTGTAGCTTTCTCGCTTATTATTCACAAACCCATCTGCCAAATCACGTGGTACAATAATTTCCAAGCTAGGTATTAATTTTTCATCTTCGTCTATGGAGTAAATCTGCAAATGTGAAGACAACAAATGGATATAAAATGGTGAAATTATGGCTTGAACTATGACCATGTTATTATGACTTGTAATGATATGAAAATTATACTCTTTAAGATTGAAAAGTCATAATACCATATAATTTGAATAATTTTTCTCTTTGAACTGTGTGTTGATTCAGACAAATAGATGGAAGCGAACCACAGGTGAAACCTAAATTAATGCTGTATCAAAGTCAGATCATCCATCTTTGAATGATCTCACATTCACATGTGAGCATTTGAGTATCTCTGCTATTGCTGTCATTGAGAAAGTAATAGCCCTGAAAGCAATCTTTTTTCTAAGTATCGCTTTAGTATGATGTATCAGGAGTTAACATTTTACTACAATCAATAAGCATTTCTGAGCATTTACAAAATACCAGAGATAAAAGCCATCTCAGACAGCTCACCAAGAATGCTCTAATTCAAGTTATGTTCAAAGATGCCTAAGGTTCCATGAGACATTTTCAGGCATTTTATGAGAGACATGTGGCTTCAAAAGACACATGTAATTCATGTATTTGATGTCATTTTCAAGGTTCTCATTCCAGCTCAGCCACTAATTAGAAAGTGACCTGGGAGAAATCCTTTAACCTCTCTAAGCTGATATGGAAACAGAGGGTCTTAACCAACACCCTTAGGACTATAACGTTCTCTCATTCTCTTCCTGGTTTCCTACACCATCACTTATTGGCCAGGAAAATCAAGAGTCAAGCCTATGAAGAGGTCATGTGGAATAAAAAAAACGCATAAGATTTGGTGTCCCAAGACTTGGGTCCAACACTGAGCTCAATTTACCAGCTGTGTGACCAGCTACCACTTTCAGAATTGAGGTTTCTTATACATAAAATGAGGAAAACAGAATTACCTCCCTTACAGGATTGCTGTGGGGATCAAATGATGTAATGGAAATGGAAGTATTTTGTAATGCACAATAAAAAAAAGTTAGTCATTAGGTTTAGATTTTTTTTTAAAAAAAAAATAAGCCTTCTTGTCTTTTACCAGGAAATAAAATTCTTTCTAACAGGCAATACTTC